ATTGAGACAGGGCGAAGTCTGGAGAAGAATGCAGTCCGAGTGATGTTTTTTTATGTGGGGTGCAAATGAGAGGGAGCTGTCCAGAATGACACAAAGATGTTGTGTTTGAGTTGTGCTCTTGATAAGCCATTACAACAGTAAAATAAGTGTCTCCTGTTCACCAAAACATACCCATCTGTTATGGAAAAATAAAGTATTCCAAAAGTATTCTAAAAGTAATCTGAATACGTTACTTTTTTAAGACACGTAACTATTCGGATTCGGATTACTTTCAGAGCCATGTATTCAGTATTCAGGAACTAACTACATTTACAAAGTAACCCTCCAAACCCTGTATATATATATATATATATATATATATATATATATATATATATATATATTACTGTATATCATAGAGTTAAGCTGAATAAGCCTCATACTGCTCTGTCCTGCCTCTTTCTTGTTGCAGAGGTCACAGCTTGGTCAGAGTGGGGGAGGGGAGGGCTATCAGGTGCACCTGCAGCTGCAGAAGCATGCTTTGCAAATGGAAGCTTTGAAGATGCACAGTGAAACGAGCCACAGCAATATTGCCATTTCTCCCGTTGTTGACTCCCTGAATCCTGATGCTATTTTTACATTTACTCAAGTACAAGATCTGAGTACTTCTACATTTACTCAAGTACAAGATCTGAGTACTTCTACATTTACTCAAGTACAAGATCTGTGTATATATATGTACAACATATCCAAACCTTTCAATTACTTCTTAAAGACTTGGTTTCAATTCCCAGTTCCTTGCAAACTTGCTAAAGAAAATGGAAAGACAACTAGGTTACTTTATGAATACATATTATCTATGTTGGTAATGGATGGTGGAGATGATCCAAGCCGTTTTTTAGATAAGCAGATTTCATCAATTAACACAATTCAGGAAGGACTTGTCCAAGTCTGACATGGCATTCACACCTGAGTCGTTCACAGATATTCCATCCAGACAAGGAACTTGACACCAAAAAACTAAAACAGTAGCCATTAACTGTTAGCCGTTAGCTGTTAGCTGTTAGCACACAGAGATCACAGCTCCTCATATCTGTTCAGAAACTGGAGAAAAGTTATAAATGTACAAACCAAAGACTGTCTGAGGTATGGTGGATACAGTCACTGCTTTACAGTATTTATGTCTGTAGGACGGTGTTGTGAGTGTTGACGGAGCAGATATGTTAACTTAGTCTAATCGATCAGATCTCCATTCAGAAATTCAACAAAATGATTCACGTGCACAATCTTCACTATGCTTCATCTAGACGTAGGCTACTTTACTTTAAATAACCTACATTTCTCTGCGCGCTTTCCCTGCACGTCCACGTCTCCAAGTGTCACTCAAAAAGGCCCCATTCGTTTCATATTCTACTTTAAATAACCTACATTTCGTTGTGCTTACAGTTGTGTTGAACTATTAAATATACACTAATGGCTCTGTTACTCGATTTTATGTACTTGGTTGTGTTGGCTAAAATATTTGCTTGCTTAATTCACCGCTTCTGAATCGTGGCTATTGTAACCTTTTGCTCCGATTCTCCCTCTCTCACACTTTCATAACACTCTCTCCCTCTTTCTCTTTCTCTTTGCATTTGACCATCAACTAGCATTGCCTCAGATTCCAAAGGCTCAAGTTGGACCTCTTATCTCTGATAAGTTATAACCATCATAAAATGATGTATGTACTTGAAATTGGTCTGGATCAATTCTCAAGGAAATTACTGCTGGTCTGATTTGAACTATATCAATGTAGTTTCATATTAGACCAGCAGCAGTTCTCACTACAAGGGTTAAACACACTTTTTTCATTTATCAAGGGTAGCCAACACTATGTCAGTGTGAAACTGCTGTCATTGTATTGTTGGGCAAAGAGCCATTGAACATTTGGACCTGTATTAAGGAAGCATATTAGATAGTTAGGTATTACTTGTTATACATTAGTAAAAGGGGTTTGTTTTCAGAGATAGCTCTAATATTTTCAATAATCGAATGAGGCAATCATCTGAAGATAAAATCATAGAAATTGTGAAAATTCAAATAACATAAAATTGTCCTGCAAGGTTAATAGAATAATAACAAGATATTAATCATTAAATGCATTGTCAATATATAGATGGATAGATAGATAGATAGATAGATTGATGGATAGATGGATAGATGGATAGATGGATAGATGGATAGATTGATTGATTGATTGATTGATTGATGGATAGATAGATGGATAGATAGATTGATTGATGGATAGATGGATAGATAGATAGATAGATGATTATCCATCTATCTTAGATAGATAGATAGATAGATAGATACAGTTTTACTGACCCTGTTCATTCTTAATATATATATAGTTATTAAATAATATTTTAATTTAAAATGTCTAGAAAATTGTATAAATGGTAAATGGAAATATATATATATGTGTGTATATAATTGTGCACTCATTTTTATTAAACAAAAGATAGAGAGTAAAATAGATTTTAAGTTCTGTTGAGATATTGCTCAGAATGCATTTAAACCATACTGCATGTTCCTCTGTGCCTCTGTGTTTCAGGGGTGTGAAGTCCAGGTCAGGGTGGGGGAGGGGAGTGGTTAATCAAGAAGTTCATGCACATTATGAACCTGCAAACCTGCAGAGCAATTGAATACCACATTTGGCGCTAAAACTTCAAAGCAGCTAATGCTGCATTCATGCAATACAACAATTACAGTTTTACTGTCCCCGACTCAGTAAGAAGTCCCTATTACAGTTTCTACACTATGTTAAGTAATCTCTCCTTACAAATCTTATTAGGGATAGTTATTTCAAGTGAGAGCAATTCACTTCATAAGAAATATTTTGGTTTTGAAACATTTTGCAAACTCCAACATGAAGACGCAATGTACTTTACATCTGCACCTGAACGCATCATTACAAACATGGATCGGCACCATAGACTGTATATATAAATCGGCACAGAAGAAGATTACTGAGACTGAGAAGCAGCTCCACATGGTGTGTGAAAGAAGCAACACAGCAATGAGTAACGAATTACAGCAGGAAAAACACACACAACTGCTCCAGGTAAGTGATATTTTATATATTTAACTATGTTAGGTTGTTTAATGTTTTAGCATTCTCCGGCATGAGTGGAACTGCTGAGGCTAGGCTAAACTCTAAATTAAGCTAACGTTAGCATGTAAGAGAGCAGAACACAAAGCGTAAGTCTCACATTTATTTTAATGTATGGTGTTGCATGTCAAATATATAAAATATGAATGCAAAAATGCATGCGTTTTTAACCTGACATCTAAAATAATTAAGGCAAGACTGTAACATCTAAAATGTTGCCTGATACATTTGTATATTTTTATCTAACTAATACATATGTAATCTCTACCATCTCAAACTACATACACTTACATTTATAAAATATATTATGCCTTTTATAATATATTTTGTTTGTTAAAATGGATGATGCTCTGACGTCATCACCCTCGCAAATTTGTCATATACAAAAAACTATAGGCTATGTTCAAACTAATTTCGTTCGTTCGGGTCGATATGTGTTGACTTTACTTTAAAATAGCAGATCTCTGTGACCGGATATAGTTTTTCGGTTTAGTGAGCATGTGTCTCTGCTCCGATCAGGAGTCACAGCCCGCAGGTTAAATACATGACACTTTTCTCTGTGCGCAGCAAAACAAGCTCGCCAAAATAAGTTCACCACCAGTCTGGCAGTATTTTAAGGTGTCCGAAAATGACAATAAAATAGCGGTACGTGTGTGAAGCAGAAATCCTGCAGCTCCACCCGCTGTGAGGGACTGGTGAGCGGAGCAAAACACACACTAAGAGTTAGACCTAACACACTTAGCTATTTTATCTACCTCTGGAACAAGTTAAACTAGTTATACATATATTTATTCTTCACTCATTACTGGATCAGTGAGCTGCATGAGATACTGACAGGCTGTCAGGAGAGAGGGAGAGAAGGAGAGAGGGAGAGAAGGAGAGAGGGAGGGAGAGAGAGAGGGAGAGAGAGAGAGAGCCAACCAATTAAAAGGACATGACAATATGTTTATCAGGTGGTTGCTTTTGTATTACTATGTAGTTGATATGTTGTTATTGTGAAGTGTTATAAGTTTGTACAGGAAATAAATACTGATTGCTTTCATTATTGATTGCAAATGGCATGAAAGATCATTCTAATGTTAAAGTAACTCTTAATGTCTGATGTTCGTTTCTCTCTTAACAGAGCTCTCACGACCCGAGCACAAGAGGCTTCATCCAGAACCTGCTGATACAGACGAGAGAGGGAGAAATAGAGTTAAAAGAGTAAGAGAAGTACTTCATTTTATTTCTGGTAGCAGTCAAACTAGTACTGAGTCCAACAGTGTCAGCCTTATTAAGGACTTATGTTAAATATTACTCAAAGATATCAGAAAAACATGCATTATTGTACCCTTGTACTAGGCTATTACCGTAAAGGCACTATTAATCGTCACCTGTATCGTGCAAGAGGGTCTAGCTGGATTGTTAATAATGGCCACTGATATTTATTTGAAGCTTAAAGTAGGCTATCAATTTGTGACTTTATTGCACTTAAATGCCTTTAATAATTATGAGTTTCAGTATTTAATGGTGTGCATTTAGACTGCTGTGTACCATTTTAATTCATTGAGGATTTTCTCAAAGGTAATTTGTTGTTTTCACAGATAATGGAAAGAAGAAGAAAGCAAAACGATCAACTGGTATGTATCAAATGAATGTACACTTAAAATTATAACACACTTTTAGTAGCTGTGACAATAAATCTTTATAGAAAAAAAATGTTATAACCACATTTTTATAACCACAATTAAATAACGAGTCACGGGCAGAATTAAAGTTTGATATTTAATTTGTGTGATATGTGTGTCGCGGAAATACACTTACACACACACATACATACAACACATTGCTGTACCCTAAATACCCTAATAAAATATACAATATAGACTTTATTGTATTGTGTGAAAGCCTCCGAATGTTTGTAGGATAAGTCGCGAACAATTGTGGATGCCTTCCAGCTGGACACCTGATCTCCAGGGCGGGGTAGTGATGTATGAATACGGCCCAGTCACCTGGGGCTGACTGGAGAGACCCGCTCCGGGGACAGTGTGGCAGTGGGGAGTTTGAATGGGGCGGTACACCTGTCTCTTAAGGCAGCCCCTGATGAAAGCCCTGTTACTGGGCTAAATACATTAGTTACATCACTTCACCACTCCTTTCCTGCAGGGAGACATCCATACTCTCCCCAAAAAGATTGCACTTGGAGCGGGCAAGTAGGGCTCACTCCATGCTCTGGACCGAGGAAAATCATCTCCAGTCAGCCCCAGGTGAAAGCCCTGTGACTGGGCCGTTTTCATACATCACTACCCCGCCCTGGAGATCAGGTGTCCAGCTGGAAGGCATCCACAATTGTTCGCGATTTATCCTACAAACATTTGGAGGCTTTCACACAATACAATAAGGTCTATAATATATATCATATTAGGGTATTTGCTGTTGGCATTTAAATAAGTACCACTTTTTAGTGTTACTACACCTTTACTAATTACTAAAATATAGGCTTTACTACTTTATACTTATTTGCTTTCTAACATTCTTGCATAACATCACATTGTACAATCTTACATTGCATATACTTTCTAACTTCCTTGAACCTACTCATTTACTTACTTACTTTTACTCACTAACTGCATTTTTTTAACCCACGAGTCAGCCCTGTTGATGACTGCTAGCAGTTTACTTTTGTTGACTTTCATTGAGTGATCGTCTTTTTGTTTACTGTTCATTAAGGTTCTGCTGTACAGAAGGGAAACCAAAGAAGGCCCTGGAGTGAGGCAGAAAAAAAGGCTGTGTGGAGTCAACTTGGCAATTGGATTACGCTGATGAAAGTCCCTGGTAAAAAAAAGTGCACTGAGAGATACATGACTCTAAATGAATGCTAATGTCGCGCCGTATTTCCGAGTGTAGATAAGCAGCTGTGTGCTAGCATGTTCACCGTGTGAAATATGGTGATGTCTACGGTGGCCCTGAAGTGCAAGTCAAAACAACATTTCAGGAACCACCACAGCATTTCATAAAACACCACAGCATTTCAACTTATACGGAAAGGGTATTCCTTTAGGGAGAACACTTCTTGTTTGTGATTGGACAGAGCCAGCCAGAGAAGCACTGCTGTGATTGGTTGTTTTTGCTGCCAGTCAAGAAATGACACTAAGTGATTGGTCAGCACCCGACAGCGCAACATGTCCCAACACATCAGCCGTTAGCTGTTAGCACACAGAGCTCACAGCTCCTCATATCTGTTCAGAAACTAGACAAAAGTTAAACATGTACAAACCACAGACTGCCTGTGTCATGGCGAATACAGTCGCTGCTTTATTTATGTCTGTATAGGCCGTTGTGAGTTTGGACGGAGCAGCTACAGGTTAGTTTATCCTGATCGATCCGATCTCCATTCAGAAAACACGCATTTTAAAAGGTTTTTCGCCTGCCGTCTGTCTGCAGACTTGTCAAAGCATAAATTCATGGTTTTTACTAACCGGTATCAGTATGTTGTTACTTCGGCATCATTTTGAAACGTGTATTACAATTAAATCACGATTAGAGCGATGCGAATATTCGGGGCTTATCTCCCTGTAAATACTATGGTAGACTACAACAAAATGAACATATTTTACCGTGATTTAATTGTAATACACGTTTCAAAATGATGAAGTAACAACATACTGATACCGGTTAGTAAAAACCATGAATTAATGCTTTGACAAGTCTGCAGACAGACGGCAGGAGAAACCTTTTAAAATGCGTGTTTTCTGAATGGAGATCGGATCGATCAGGATAAACTAACCTGTAGCTGCTCCGTCCACACTCAGAACAACGGCATACAGACATAAATAAAGCTGCGACTGTATTCACCATGACACAGACAGTCTGTGGTTTGTACTTGTTTAACTTTTGTCCAGTTTCTGAACAGATATGAGGAGCTGTGAGCTCTGTGTGCTAACAGCTAACGGCTGATGTTTTGGGGCATGTTGCGCTGTCGGGTGCTGACCAATCACGAAGCGTCATTTCTTGACTGGCAGTAAAAACAACCAATCACAGCAGTGCTTCTCTGGCTGGCTCTGTCCAATCACAAACAAGAAGTGTTCTCCCTAAAGGAATACCCTTTCCGTATAAGTTTAAATGCTGTGGTGTTTTGTGAAATGCTGTGGTGGTTCCTGAAATGCTGTGGTGTTTCCTGAAATGCTGTGGTGTTTCCTGAAATGCTGTAGCGTTTTGTGAAATGTTGTTTTGACTTGCACTTCAGGGCCACCGTAGATGTCAGTGTTGTGTCACATCTTGTTCTCACTGCCCCAAACAGGACAAAAATCTTCAGGGTCAAATACGAGTTGCCCAACCTTTACCAGTGGCCAATCAGAAAACGTTCATAAGTTGAATTCTTAAGTTACTAGTATTACGTGGAGGCCTCTAGTTATTTGTTATTATTACAGTTATTGACTGTGATCTTAAATCCAATATGAGTCTGCCATGACTGTTCTTTCTAAATGACATAAGGTCCCGTAATGATAATCCTGTGTGAATATGGCTTTACAAATCATTTGTGAAAGTTTTGGAGAGCACTGTCAAATGATGCCATCCTGAAGATTGGTTTGCCAGATTGTAGAATTCTCATTTAACAAATCTGTTATTTGGGCGGAAGGACTAGTTGAACAGATTGTGTAAGATTTCTTGAATTTGCCTTAGTTTTCTCTCTCAAGTAAAACAGATGGTTTGTTTATCATTCACTATTGTTCCTCTGCCTGTTGGGACAGTGTTGCCTTGTCCCTTGATCTCAGCAGTGAAGTTATTTTGTAAAATCGTAATCAGTAGCAAATTTTACAAAACTACATATACGTTTCAGATTTAAAGGAAAATGTGTTCAAATGTCTGACACTGGCAACCCAGGACAATGGACAATTTGGCTCAATAATGCACGCTGGCACTCAATCATACCTTTGGGATTGTTACACAGACAGAAAACGTATTTGAAAGATACATTTATCACATAGAATTTCCACACATAATGGCTTAATTAAGCAAACGTGACATTTTTCCAATAGTGTGTTGTTTCCACGAAATCTCACCAAAAACAAGTGGTTCACTCTGTGACACAAGTAGTTAGTAGAGTCAATGTAGAGTTAGAAGAGAGAAATGTTAATGTAGAGTTAGAGTCAATGGACAGTAGGTGAGTGTTTTTGTAACTGTAGTTCAACACACCTGTCAAATAAATCAATCTGTGATTATAGTTCTTGCATTGTTTGTTTTGTGAAGGAAGTAATACCTTGTCTTAGGTCATGTTCACACCAGCCTTGTTTAGTCTGGTTGAATCGAACCCTGGTGCGTTCAACCGCTTGGTGCGGTTTGGCCTATAAGCTAGGCTATATTTGCTTATGACTGCTCACCTCACTGGTCCCCTGTGTACAACAAAAGGCTGTGGTACAATCTGATCAGAGCCCTCCTTACTGCAGTCTGTCATTATATGTGTTTATAATGTTTTAACACACCAAAGAAGAGGACTATTAGGTGTGAATGCAACCTTAGTTTCCTGAAAGAGTGAATACTTAGGACATAACACAGTATGGCTTATAATACTGTTTAATACACAAGGGAGGTATCAAGACTAGAAAGCAAAGACAGAATATGGTATGTAAATGCATGAAACAATGGGAATGGCTGTGAGGGATGCAGGAGGAGCAGGGCCATGCAGGGACAGCAGGACCAGGGACAGCATTGGGAGGCCTAAAGATGGGAGCCACATCCATACAGCAAGAAAGAAACACCAACCACTCACACAGACAGAGGGCAAAAGGGTTAGTAACAAAACAACATGGGAGAAGAGAAGAAGGTGAGGATTTAAGAAACTGAGAGAGACATATACACCGGCATAGACTTTAAATTAAATACAGGGGCCTGCAGGCAGGGACTGAAACATATCATTATAGAATATTACATAAATAAGGTTTTAGGATTCAACAATCTCTTATCTCTTTGGATAACTGGACTTAAACTCACACTGTACATTTTACATGTATACTTAATTTAATATTCCATTCCTACACACTTAATGTATATAATATCCTGCTTTATATTTATTTTGTTTACTGTAAATTGGTATTTCAACATGTATATTTTCTACTTTTTGAATGCTGTTTTATTTCTATTTGTGATGTTTACATTTTAGAATTGTTTATTTCTAGTCTTTTCATTTCTCTTATGTGCAATGCCAATCTTTAATGCTGTGGGCCATAGGGCTCATAAAAGGTTTTTGAGAAGAAAACTTGTCAAAACTGCTGGGAAAAACACACACTTAAATCTGCCTAGCAACTGGCCGGTCCTCACAACACCGACCAAATTCACCACTTGTGTGAAAATTTGTGTTTTAACATTTTAAGTGACTTTCTGACTCACTACCCCCATCTTGTGTTAGAGATATTTTTTTCATCTTTGTGGCTATAGCAGAAAGGGGGGTCCTCACACCCTACCCTTGGGTCATGGTCCTCACAAGTATAGCAAAACGTGTGTGTGTGTGTGTGTGTTGTGTGTGTGTGTGTGTGTGTGTGTGTGTGTGTGTGTGTGTGTGTGTGTGTGTGTGTGTGTGTGTGTGTGTGTGTGTGTTCCTCCAGAGTTCAGTCCTCAGTGACTCTGATGAACTCCTGTACGGTCGCGCTGGCTTCCTGTTCGCTCTGCTGTACGTCAACAGAGAGATGGGAGAGAACACGGTGGAGGAGAGCACCATCACTCAGGTGAGACACACACACACGTAAGATGCAGACGCAGCGGCTTGGCTCTCTGTTTGTTTATATACGTTTTAGCATGTTTACTTTCTAGCAGCAAGGTAGTAGCCTTTAATACAGGGGAGATTCCCAGTCGATCGCGAGATGTGTCTAAAAATAGAACAACAATATTCTGTTTTATCGTTAATGTCCTATAACATAATCTTCCTGTGCCAGAATAATGCACTTGAACGCATCAAAGCTTTGTGATTGGCCGGCGTGATCCCATGTGTCGGGGCGTGGCTGGTTGGCAGTGGGCACTAGTTAGCTGACGTTGTCCGTGTCAACAGGAGTGACAGTCCGCACACACACAAGACCGCAATTATGGCAGAAGCTAGGGCTGTGCGATTATGGCAAAAATCATAATCACGATTATTTTGGTCAATAATTGATATCACGATTATTAAATACGATTATTCATTGACTTTGAAAACATCCATTTATTGAACTTTAAAACAAATACAAATAATAATTTGAACAGTATCTTTTTAACTGTTGATTACCCTGAACGTATAATTCAACTTAAAAACCAATACAAAAAATAAATTAAATGATACATTTATATTTACATTTAAATAAATAATATCAAAATAATAAATACCAATAAACAAGATCAACAAATATTTTGGAGCGCACTTCAACAAGCTACTAAACATATGTAAATATGATAAATACAAATAAATTAGACTAAAATAAATTAGATCCAATATGTTGCAGTGCACGGTCACAACCAAGCAAAGCAAAATAATCGTTTTTTACGATTATGTTGTTTTCGTAATTGTGGCAGGCCAAAATCGTAATTGCGATTAAAATACGATTAATTGCACAGCCCTAGCAGAAGCAAAAAAGCCCAAAATATATCATTTTCACTCCGAGTGGGAGGATGATTATTTTTGTATCTATTCCAATTCAAAGTCCATCTGTCTCATCTGCAATGCGAGCGTGGCTTTCCCGAAGAAGGGTAATTTAGGAGCGGCATTTCAAAACAGTGCACAAACGCTACGAGACGGAATTCCCTCCTAATTCTGCCCTACGCTCCCAAAAGGTGAGGGACCTGAAAGGACAGCTAAATGCACAGCAGTCCATTTTCACCAGGCCCAACAACAAGAGCAAGGCTGCTACCATAGCATCTTATCGTGTCAGTGACGTTCTTGCGAAACACATGAAGTCTTTCAAAGATGGCAAAGTTGTGAAAGAAGCATTCCTGGAGGCTGCCGACGCGCTTTTTGGGGACAGTAAAAATAACAGTAGCATTTCAACAGGTTTTTGATATAATAAAAACTCAAGTTAGATACCGTTATTAATCAGCTGTAAGTTTTAGTTTGTTTGAACTTATTCATTATAATTATTGTACAAAATGGTATAACAATAATGCAAACTTAAATTGATTATAGTCTATTATCAATTCAGGTTAAGAAACTAGTGTTGCTTGCATCCTATTTTAAAGGCATTTCTTTTTATACTCTACTAAAATGCAACAAGAAAAGGGTTTGATTCTATTAATTTTGTCTTTTTTATTGCACTTTGTCAAGCATGCATGTAGCTTCAGATCTGAGTTGTCTTATTAGTAAGCCTAATTTATACTTTTGGAGCAACACTATTTTTATATAATGGCAAAGAAAGGGTTCAGAGTCTTTTTTTCCTGTGTCATATGTGGCAGCACTGTTCAATGTTTCTTGAAAACATTACCCACTGTGGTATGTGACGTGTGAATAAACTCCAACTCTGTATCAACAACACCGTTGTGTAACTTCAGTTAAATACTTGTATGTGTGTAGATTAGAAAGAGGTAAGATAAATGATCAGCAGTATTTTATGAAGTATTAATCGTACAAAGGTCAGTTTTATACAAGTAGAAGTGTGTATTTTCCTGGTAGTACGCTGTCAGTAATGGCTACGCCTCTCTATTTGGACTGGTAGATCTCGGCACACTGGCAACTTTAAAAGTAGCTCTCGGTTCAAAAAAGGTTGGGCACCCCTGCTTTAATACATAACTGAGCTAAATTATTTTTCTTTCAGAACTGATCTCCGTTTGGACACAACTGTCATCCCTCCGTAGATTCTACGCAGCCCGGAGGCAATCTTTTTCACCGTCCCACCAGCGAGGCGGCGGCGGAAGGAGAGGAGACAGAAGCGTGGTAAGTGAGCCGGGCTAAGGTCTAGGCTAAAGGCTAACCCGTACAGACCGGCGCTTCCGATCATCACAGAGATCTGGCTGAACCACAACATCTACACAAACATTCCAGGGGCATTTAAAGCAACATAATCCCCACATCTTGGACAATCTGACCACATCTCACTAATTATGATTCCAGCTTACAAACCACATATCTGCAAAACAAAACCAGCTATCAGGACAGTACAAGTGTGGTCTGAGGAAGCCACCTCATTGCTGCAAGACTGTTTTGAACACACAGACTGGGATTTGTTTGCTGAGGGGTTAGATCTTGGGGAATACAGCAGCTGCGGCGCCAGGATTTAAATTTTGGGTGGGCCAATGTAATTTCGGCTGGGCCTGTTCTAACAGATGTTTCTCGTTAACAAAAATAAAATGTAAAGAAATGCCTGCATATCATTGTAGGCAACTGTGTAATGCATATTTCCTATAGTAAAGACACTTTTTCTAAACCCTTCTCTTTTAAACATTTTCACTTATAAGAAGCTTAAATATTATTTAAATAATTAAAGGTGGGGTAGGTAAGTTTGAGAAACCGGCTCGAGATAATCTTTTATGCCCTTTCCCTGTTAGGTTCTGCAGACAGTCCCAGATTTGTTTATGATTTGTGACATGTTAACCATTATTTATACAGCTTATCTACACATATGCTGACCAGCTGCTGCTGGTAGTGCCCAAAACCAGGCTCAAAACCCGAGGGCACCGAGCCTTCGCAGCAGCTGGCCCTAGGCTCTGGAACACTTTGCCCCTCCATGTGAGGTCGGCCCAGACCGTAGGGGTTTTTAAATCCACTCTAAAAACTCACTTCTTCTCTCTGGCTTTCTAATTAGAGCGGAGCACGACTTCTGACTTTTCCGTGTGTTTTATTCTTATTTTGTTTTTTTTTTAAGTTATATCTGTTGTAATTTATTGTCGTTTATTGTGTTTTGTAGTAATGTGTTTTTTTTATTACATGTACAGCACTTTGGCTCGACCAAAAATCGCTTTTAAATGTGCTTTATAAATAAAACCTGATTTGATTTGATTTGATATAATCATGTATAATCACATAATGTTCATTAACAGCAAAGTTATCCTTGTATCCATTAATTATTGATATGTACATTGAATTACAATTAATCTAATGTTATATACAGTATATAGCTATCTTTCATATATATTCAACAATAGACAGATAAGATAAGATAGAGCTTTATTGTCTCCCTTGGGAGAAATTTGTCTTGGGCATCGAGATAATAAACATAAAACATTCAGGTCAATCACTCATAGATACAGAACAGAGATCACATATCACATGGCAAAGAAACAAACAAGAAACATACAGGTACAGCACTTTCCCCATTGCACATATCCCTATTGCATTCATACATCATCAAATATTGCAGTTTTCCCTATTGTATTTATACATAAATCAAATATTGCACCTTCCCTACTGCATTCATACACAAATCAAATATTGCACTTTCCCTATTGCTTTTATGTATCTATTTTTACATTCATGTATTTATTACCACATGTATTTATTGCTGTATTTATTCCCACATTCATTTATTCATACTTGTGTCATGTTCCGTTCTTGTCTGATAAGGAACAGCAGGGGGTGCTGTTGCAGTGTGAGTGCAGATATACAGTACAGTATATAGCTATCTTTCATATATATATTCAACAATATACAGTATCCTTCCTGCAGCATATATAACACAGTTTATCATACTGAGCAACGATCACTTATCATGCATGTCTGATAAGGAACAGCAGGGGGTGCTGTTGCAGTGTGAGTGAGTGCAGATATACAGTACTGTATATAGCTATCTTTAATAGATATTCTACAATATACAGTATCCTTCCTGCAGCAGCATATAACACAGTTTATCATATCATACTGAGCAACATGTAACATAAAGATATGTATATCACATAATATAGGATAGGACTTTAGGGGTGTATATTAACAAATACACTTTGGTTTTGCAATGTAGAGTACCAGTTTGTTATTGTTGACCCAGTCTGCTATGGCTTTAATCTCTATTTTAAGTAGATTGTTTAACTCACTGCATGTTGATGCTGTACTGTATATTGTGGAATCATCAGCATACATTATTACACTGGACTGGAGGTGATCTCTGTTTGGGATTGTGTTCACCTGGTGCCCTGTGATGGCTCCTCCCCCCTCACCTGTGTCTAATTGCTCCCCCCTCACCTGTGTCTTGTTAGTCTGTGTGTGTATGTAGGTGCTGTGCTTGTAGGGTTAGCGGGGTGTGAGATCTTTGTGGCTGGCTGCAGGCTGTGTGCAGGGAGAAACAGCAGATTGAGGCTGTGTGTCATGTGTTCATGATTTTTAATAAAGGCCCACAGCGGGTTGTATTTGGGATTTGTGCCTCTGGCTCCTTACTTGGTCGGGCCGCTCAACGGTGAGTCTCACACCATTCATGCAGCAGTTGTTGAGAACTTATTGAAATCACTACTAGTATTATTGACTCACTGCTAGCTACCAACAATAAAATGCCACTTGTACAGAAATATATATAATGAAGTGTTTTATTGAACACTTTTATTTATTTATACATTCATGTATTTATTACCACATTTATTTATTGATGTGTTTATTCCCACATTCATTTCTTCATACTTGTGTCATGTTCCGTTCTTGTCTGATAACGAACAGCAGGGGGTGATGTTGCAGTGTGAGTGAGTGGCTGGCTGGCTGCATGTAAAGTGTTTTGCTCAGTGTCCATATCATGTATGTGTCTAATGTTTTTGTATGAACCAAGTCAATATCAAAGCACTTGTAATATATGACCTAATATGACATGCGTGAGTTGTTTAGTTTATCTTATAGCCTATGAATGTTCAAAGTGAACAATGAGACAGAGGTGACGTTGTCCCCGCTGCAACTGTCTTTGCGCTGTCACTGGGACAACATTAACCGTGCTTAGTTAGTGATAGAATTAGTTGCCGTGCAACTAGGTGTTACCTTTTTACTAACGGTATGTCGGCACCGAAACCGTAGTTTCTAATGCACACCGGATGTTTCTGACTTGGCTCGTTGTCAGCCTGTAACCAGCTGCCCAGACATTTCGAGCGGAAAAAAGGATGCAAACGGGTGCCGTGGGAAGAACCTCCGTTTATTGACGTTCTTCAGTTACATTGACACTGTATTGCATACATACAGACTAGACACTATTCCTTTTCTGACTAGTTTCTCTAGACTTTCGTCTCTCTCTTCATACCTCCGCACTTCGCCTTGGCCATCACATTGTACACACACACAGAGTCCAAAACCCACAACCCCTTGCGGCTGCTACTCTTAAAGTGACAGGCCAAGCATGTGACGTAGGAGAGGAGTTATTGATGGTGTTTCAAAGAGTTAGTATTTGTCGAGCTTTTGTTTTGAAGGATATTTCTGAATATCTTGAATAGAAATACAACTAATTGATTAATTGGACATATAAGCGTACTTGTTGTTGCGTAGCCACTTACGGTCTGACAGACTTCCTTCACAATATTTTTAAATACAACTTCCGTTGATTGTTTGGCACAAGCGTTCTTGTGGCGTAATGTGCTGAGTGTGGCACTTTGGAGCGGGTGATCTCGTTTTCAAATCTTCCTTCAAAAATTCGATATTTTAACATTGACTCATTGCACATTGATTTTTTTGATACTTATTTCATCTTCCGTTCATCAAATCAGGTTTTTTATTTATATAGCACATATGTTGGTGCTGTAGCATGGTCAGTAGCTACTGGCATATATGTACTATAGCTTTTCCAGGGGGTCGAGCAGTGTCGTTCAATTAATCGAATTCGTGAACGCAAACAACAACATTTCTGTCTCTCACCTGTCTCTCTCTCACCTGTCTCTCTCTCACCTGTCTCTCTCTCACCTGTCTCTCTCTCACCTGTCTGTCTCTCACCTGTCTGTCTCTCACCTGTCTCTCTCTCACCTGTCTCTCTCTCACCTGTCTCTCTCTCACCTGTCTCTCTCTCACCTGTCTGTCTCTCACCTGTCTGTCTCTCACCTGTCTCTCTCTCACCTGTCTGTCTCTCACCTGTCTGTCTCTCACCTGTCTCTCTCTCACCTGTCTCTCTCTCACCTGTCTGTCTCTCACCTGTCTGTCTCTCACCTGTCTGTCTCTCACCTGTCTCTCTCTCAGGTGTTCCAGGAGGAGAAGTACCTGAAGGAGGCATCAGACTGCTCGGAGGTGATCTGGCAGAGAGGTTTCCTGAGGAAAGGATACGGACTCTGCCACGGCACGGCAGGGAACGGATTCATCTTCCTGTCCCTGTACCGGAGGACGAAGGAGAGGAAGCACCTGTACAGGGCCTGCAAGGTGAGGACATTTAAATAGAGATATATATATATATAAATATATATATGTATGTATATATGGCAATATGAAAGAAAAATACACACTCTAATTTAAATAGTTTTTATTAGTAAATAATGATGTTCAAAATAAAATAGTCCCTCTGTTGCCTTCTGCACGAAACATAGTGCGAGGTGGTTGCTATGCAACAACACTAACAGCTAGCGAACATATTCACAACATACTTTTCACAACAAGTCAGTATCCCTCCACGTCTGAGAAAAGCAACAACCGTTACAGCTGTTACATTGCGTCCGTTAGGAAACTAACTAACTAACAAAGCTTAAGATGGAAACATGTAAGGGATAATGTGCAGCAAGGACGTATTGACCGTTGTTAAGGACGCTCACATCTGCAGAAAGAAGTCCGGTCGATTTAACTGTATACAGTTCGGCTGAAAAGCAAACTGCGACAAGAAAACAGCGGAGAAGTAACGGGGCAGAAACCCTCCTTTTTACACAAAGGTCCAGACATAGACATCAAACGGCAAAACATATTCAGTGTGCAGTTCCTTTGGCATTAGGGCAGGGGTATCTAGATACTTCCCAAAGTCTGACATCATGAATTGTGCTACTTTTAAAGCAAGCAACCATGTTTTCAAATCTGTAATCAAAAAGGTCCGCAAAAACGCTATCGACCAATCAGATTGCTTGATTTGACTTGTCCGTTTTATAAATATATTTACATTTCGTCCGTTACGAAACAAACTTGCAAAGCTTAAGATGGAAACATTTAAGGTTAACTTGGACCTCCGGGGGGGTCTTACTATGGAGGAGTGGATTGAGCAGTGCCTATCTCCAGAAAGCACCTAAACGACGACATGCAGAGCTACGTGAAGAGCAGGTAGACCAACTGGAAAAGTACCACCATTCAAAAGCTTTCTGATGCGGGTCTTGAAACAAAGCAGAGAAATGATGACCGTTAGTGGCCACAGGTGAGAAAGCTCTCTCCAGAGCTACTGGAAGCCCAATCTCGGGGACCGGAGAAAGTGGAGCAATATTCTCTCCACGCCAAGCAACAGCCTAGAACAACCTCAACCTATACAAGTAACCACGTAAGCCATGCTACTGATGCTGGACAAGTTTTCAGTGGCTGCACAATAAACAACATACACATGAATGTAAATAAATAGCTAAATAATGGATCAACGCTCTCTGTCTAATTTGTTCGCTAGCTGTTGTTAGTGTTGTTGCATAGCAACCACCTCACACTATGTTTCGTGCAGAAGGCAACGGAGGGACTATTTTATTTTGAACATCATTATTTACTAATAAAAACTATTTAAATTAGAGTGTATTTTTATTTCATAATGCCACACTTGGTAACCGTTTCATAAAAGCAATAGCTCACGACAGGCCGTGATATATATTATGTCACAGCTAAGGGGGTTGTCGACCCTCCGCTTCGCGTCGGGCCGAACCACGCCCCTTAGCTGTGATATAAGGAGCATATACCACGGCCTGTCGTGAGCTATTGCTTAATTATCCCTTACATGTTTCCATCTTGAGCTTTGTTAGTTAGTTAGTTTCGTAACGGACGTAATGTAACAGCTGTAACGGTTGTAGCTTTTCTCAGACGCTGAGGGATACTGACTTGTTGTGAAAAGTTGCTGCAGTCTCAGGGCGGTTGTCAGTCAGGAAGCAGCTCTGTTTCCAGAATAAAAGCAGCAGGAGACTCCCTTCAGATTTATTATCCTGCATCTTCCAGAATGTTTTTATTGATGACGGACATTTTTCTGTGACCAGTGTTTCTGATGTTTTGCAGAACTAAGTCTCAGTCCTGCAGCGCTGTGAACCAAAGTTGGTGTAGGAAGAGAAAATCTTATCAGAAAATCACAATTCAGGTTTTTCCTAACATGCAGCTGCATTAGCAAACAATCCATCATGCTGGCCTTCTCAGTCCTGCAGCGCTGTGAACGGTGTTATTCGGGAGTGGAGATGCAGAACACTTATTCCACTTTAAAGTCTAGCAGAGAAATCCATCAGGGTTCAGGGTCCAAGAGGGTTTTCTGTAGAAGGAGTTGTAGATGTGTGTGACATGTCAATCACAATGACAGTGAGGGGGGGCGGCCTTTAAATGCTTTCACTTACTTCGCCAAATCAGAATCCTTCATTCGTCCTGCAGCGGAAACTATATAGCGATTAAAGACAAGTGCATTTGATATAAAGAGACAGCAGGCATGCATCAGGACAACCAGTGCACATACGGCCTGTAGCAGGATTTCAAAGCAGAAAGTGGGCATGTGAAAGTAATGAAGGGTAAGAACATGTTATTCTGTAATCAGACTAAATGAGGTCCTTAATGTGTGTTTTCCTCAGTTTGCAGAGTGGTGTCTGGACTACGGGACTCACGGCTGCCGGATCCCAGACAGACCCTACTCTCTGTTCGAGGGTAAAACTCTTTCAAACACCTCCGTTAAAATGTGATAATATCATCTGTCGATCCATGCAGCAGCAGCAGCTCTGTGGTGAGAGCAGTCAGTCCGTCAGAAACACCAGCAGAGGATACATGAGATCAAAACACTGATATTTGATGATTTATTGACCTTATTTTACTGAAATATGGGAAGAAAATGTGTCTCATAATGCAAACTGAATTCAATTAGGATTTAGGATTTAAAATCAATAACCGTGAGGTAATTGCACACTAAATGTTAATAATATCCTACTTTTAAATGTTGTTCGCTGTAGTTAAAGGTCCCATGTCATGGCCATTTCCACTGATCATAATTCCATTGTTGAGGTCTACTAGAATAGATTTATATTGTGCATTTCTCCAAACTCACATTGGTTTCTCATACAGCATTTCTCCAAACTCACATTGGTTTCTCATACAGCATCTCTCCAAACTCACATTGGTTTCTCATACAGCATCTCTGTAAACTACGTGTATTCACTGAATTTCACTCTCTGCCTTTAACGGCTCGTTGTAGCTCCAATAGCTCCAGCCCCCCCCCCCCTCCCTGTGAGCACAGTGTGCTCTGATTGGTCGGGACGTTGTGAATCGCGCTGAGCTCCGTGGAGGTGTTGTTTCCTTGTTAGCATACATAGCGAAACACAGCCAAACTCATCCTGAGCACACACAAAGTCACAGCCGAAGTAAAAACAATAAGTGTGGCTTGATATTGAGTAAGAAAAAGGTTGATAAACGCTGTGAGAATGGGTCTGCAGAGAGAATCTCGCCGCGATCCCAACTGTCTGTTATCAGCCTGCAGCCAGGGAGGAGAAATCAGCTGAGCTGCTCCCTGCACACAGATGTGTGTGTGAGGAAGTCCGTGGATTGGTCAATTTGGACCAATCAGCGGGGGCTTAACGTAACGGCTCCACGGATTGGTCCATTTCGTTCCGGGTACGGCTTGACATCATGCCGTACCCGGAACGAAATGGAAGAATCAAATGCACAATGACGTATCTCCAGTGGCGACTGGTCATTAGGGGCAGGTGGGGCACAGCCCCACCTAGTGTCAGCAGAAAGTATTACAAATAATGATTACAAAAATGCAAAAAAAAAAATAAAAAAATATATAAAATATATTTTAAGATCATGTTTAATCATCTGATTCGTCTGTACATTGCTGTTTTAGTCTGTGTTCTTCTAATTAGTGTGTCTACAGTCACAGTGTGTGCCTATTGAGCTGTTTAGAGCCATGTGGGACAAAACCTGATTATGCCCCTTCCTCTCGCTGTGAAGTCAACGGTGACTGTAAAAACTTCACTGCGCATGCTCAGAGTATTTTGTAATGAAATGTGTGTGGCAAAAAAATAATGACCAGAGGGGCATGGAGCTACCATCCCCACCATACGTCATCTCAAATCATTCAGAGCTGATTGGCTGTAAGTACGTGTGCCGCGAAAAGTGTGCTGTGTGAAGAGGAGACGAGAGAGCTGCAGTGGCGCGTCCTAAAACCAGGAAGTAAGCACAAAAAAGCAATGAGATTTCTCCAGAGGATTTTAGAAAATAGCTCGAAATAAGATCTGTGGGAAACGTACCTGTTAGATAAATGCACGTTTTGATTAGCCGGATAACATCCACATGTCTACCCTACTTATATAATTTTTTTATCATAAATCTATGGATTAGATTTATGATAGACTTTTGAAACTACAAGAACATAAGGAGGACTTTTACAAAAAAGTAATAGAAATGTTTGTCCAGAAGGATAGGCAAATGGACTTCATCTTCAAGTCAAGGTAAGACCGCCATTTTATTGAAAATGGGATCTTACTAAGAGAGAACAATTCAATATTTAAATGATAAAATGACATTTTTTGGGTATCCTTTTGTTGAACTGTCTGTTTAAAATTAATCGAAGCATCAGACAAAAAAAGCTTTTGAAAATAATATTATATTTTGGTTTAGGTCAAAATATAATATTTGTAAACCTGAAGAGTCAGTGCCAGTGCCTCACCAGCCATGAACCTCACTGCACGTCACTGCAGAAGCTTATATATAGACATCTAAGTTTTTTGTGCCCCACCACTTTTGTACATATAAAAACGCCACTGCGTATCTCCAACGAGGTGTTTTGGGGAGGTCTTTTCTGTGTTAGAGTTTTACTCGCTACACGGTGTACTTTGAGGGTTTTTGACTCTGCACACCGTTTACATGCATACAAACCTTCATAACACACAAGGGGACGGGTAATAACCGGAAAAGCATGACATGGGAGCTTTAAGCCCTTCAGTGTCTTATCTAAATGCAGTATATTTAGAGATGCAGACATTTATACCTTTTATTATAATAATAAATCAGGTAATAAGTCGGGTAATAAATCAGGTAATAAGTCGGGTAATAAGTCAGGGGTAATAAATCAGGTAATAAGTCAGGTAATAAGTCAAGGGTAATAAATCAGGTAATAAGTCAGGGGTAATAAATCAGGTAATAAGTCGGGTAATAAATCAGGTAATAAGTCGGGTAATAAATCAGGTAATAAGTCGGGTAATAAGTCAGGGGTAATAAATCAGGGTAATAAGTCAGGGGTAATAAATCAGGTAATAAGTCAGGGGTAATAAGTCAGGTAATAAGTCAGGTAATAAGTCAGGGGTAATAAATCAGGTAATAAGTCAGGTAATAAGTCGGGTAATAAATCAGGTAATAAGTCGGGTAATAAATCAGGTAATAAGTCAGGGGTAATAAATCAGGTAATAAGTCGGGTAATAAGTCAGGGGTAATAAATCGGGTAATAAGTCAGGGGTAATAAATCAGGTAATAAGTCAGGTAATAAGTCAGGGGTAATAAATCAGGTAATAAGTCAGGGGTAATAAATCAGGTAATAAGTCGGGGGTAATAAATCAGGTAATAAGTCAGGGGTAATAAATCAGGTAATAAGTCAGGGGTAATAAATCAGGTAATAAGTCAGGGGTAATAAATCAGGTAATAAGTCAGGTAATAAGTCGGGGGTAATAAATCAGGTAATAAGTCGGGGGTAATAAATCAGGTAATAAGTCAGGGGTAATAAATCAGGTAATAAGTCGGGTAATAAGTCAGGTAATAAGTCAGGGGTAATAAGTCCGGTAATAAGTCCTTAGTCTGGTGGCAGCTTCAGTTTCAGATCGTAGAGAACTCTTTGGCCCAATCCCAAACCACTCCCTCGACCCTACCCCTCCGTGGCGGAGTGAACTCCGTCTGTAGCCACACTCGCAGCTCAACGAGGCTCCCTCCTGTCAGATGGAGGGAGTAAATACAGCGGCAAGCTTTGGGACAAACTCCCCTCTCTCCGGCAGAAACAGGAAATGCCGTAACTGTATGTAACAACGGTTTCAAATCAGCATCTCTTAGACAAAAAATGTAAATTAATAACTCAAATAAAACTCCAAACATCTTTCATTGTGTTACTTTTCTGTAAAGCTCTTTTAGTTTTAAACCTGATATTTATAAGCTTCTTAGTTTTTGCAACAGTCTGTAAATATACACAACTTTATAATAAAATGCACACATTTACCTTTTTCTAGACTAAACACAGGTATTTTTTTATTTATTTATTTTTTATTTAACCTTTATTTAACCAGATAAAAAACATTGAGATAAAATCTCATTTTCAATGCTGACCTGGCCAAGAAGGCAGCAACGTTACACATAACACATAACAATTAACTCCTTAGGGTATCTGGAACCTTTATGACTTATTCAAGTAGGCCAAAGAGAGAGCATATCTGTGCTACAATAAGGGACTGCTGGGATTTGAACCCAGGATCTCCTGTTTACTAGACAGGCACTTTAACCAACTAAGCTACATCAACCTCTTAAATAGTTCTTCTTTTGAATCAAAGTAGGGGATATTCCAGTTTGCTTTACCTGTGGAAGGAGGTAAAACAACCCGGGGAAGTGCGAGGGGCTGTTCATTAATGGGTCAGTTAATTAATGAACATTTCTGAGTTTTATTTTTCAGGCAAAATGTACTGTAGAATTGTCTTTTTCAGTCAGGATGGCCGAGCGGTCTAAGGCGCTGCGTTCAGGTCGCAGTCTCCTCTGGAGGCGTGGGTTCGAATCCCACTTCTGACAAATGGTGTTTTTCACTGTAACATTCAGTGAGACATGATCTTGGGAAAACATCCGGTGTGCATTAGAAACTACGGTTTCGGTGCCGACATACCGTTAGTAAAAAGGTAACACCTAGTTGCACGGCAACTAATTCTATCACTAACTAAGCACGGTTAATGTTGTCCCAGTGACAGCGCAAAGACAGTTGCAGCGGGGACAACGTCACCTCTGTCTCATTGTTCACTTTGAACATTCATAGGCTATAAGATAAACTAAACAACTCACGCATGTCATATTAGGTCATATATTACAAGTGCTTTGATATTGACTTGGTTCATACAAAAACATTAGACACATACATGATATGGACACTGAGCAAAACACTTTACATGCAGCCAGCCAGCCACTCACTCACACTGCAACATCACCCCCTGCTGTTCGTTATCAGACAAGAACGGAACATGACACAAGTATGAAGAAATGAATGTGGGAATAAACACATCAATAAATAAATGTGGTAATAAATACATGAATGTATAAATAAATAAAAGTGTTCAATAAAACACTTCATTATATATATTTCTGTACAAGTGGCATTTTATTGTTGGTAGCTAGCAGTGAGTCAATAATACTAGTAGTGATTTCAATAAGTTCTCAACAACTGCTGCATGAATGGTGTGAGACTCACCGTTGAGCGGCCCGACCAAGTAAGGAGCCAGAGGCACAAATCCCAAATACAACCCGCTGTGGGCCTTTATTAAAAATCATGAACACATGACACACAGCCTCAATCTGCTGTTTCTCCCTGCACACAGCCAGCCACAAAGATCTCACACCCCGCTAACCCTACAAGCACAGCACCTACATACACACACAGACTAACAAGACACAGGTGAGGGGGGAGCAATTAGACACAGGTGAGGGGGGAGGAGCCATCACAGGGCACCAGGTGAACACAATCCCAAACAGAGATCACCTCCAGTCCAGTGTAATAATGTATGCTGATGATTCCACAATATACAGTACAGCATCAACATGCAGTGAGTTAAACAATCTACTTAAAATAGAGATTAAAGCCATAGCAGACTGGGTCAACAATAACAAACTGGTACTCTACATTGCAAAACCAAAGTGTATTTGTTAATATACACCCCTAAAGTCCTATCCTATATTATGTGATATACATATCTTTATGTTACATGTTGCTCAGTATGATATGATAAACTGTGTTATATGCTGCTGCAGGAAGGATAC